CCCCAAAACCCCAAAACCCCAAAACCCCAAAACCCCAAAACCCCAAAACCCCAAAACCCCATTTCGTTAATAATAAGATTTTAAATATAATAGTCAATATTAAATATTTTTGGCATATATTACTCGTAAAATGACCGATAAATCCCAGAGCCATAACATTGGCGCAAGCGTAAGTTTCCCTTTTTGAGGCCTTTCCTGAGTCTGCTTGCATCTTGGCTTGGTAGCCAACCTGTTGGGTATTGTTTCTGGGAAGACACATTGTTTAATTTGGTATAGAATAATGGCATTCCGAGCCAAGAAGGAGTCAAACTTGTCAGACCGATTCCTAAGAGATCAGGACCAGCAGCGGGAGTTTCTCCTCAAGTTCCAACTCCGATTATGCCAATAGCTGGCCACCAAAGCATCGTTGGTTCGGCGAGTGGAGGGATACAAAGGAGTATTCAAATGGGAAGCTCAGCTTCTCCAATGAATAACTTTTTCTATCTAATGAATAATGCAAGCGTGTCTATGCCAAGTGCGAATGGTAAGTACAAATGGTGTAGCTATTCTTTGGGTTGGGCTCCCCTTTGGCCAGACTAGTAATTTCTCAGAGTTCATTCTAGAAATTAATTGAAAATTCTAAGCTATTTTTCGTGTTAGTTAGCCAACCTTTTATGATTAGAACTGTCATTTAGTTGAGAAGATATACCTAACTTTTTCTGGAAGTTTTAATAATTTTCTACCTAATTCGTGATATGCTGACTATGAGCCAGGATATCCCAATCGTCTCTGGAAGTGACCCAATATTATCAGAAATATTGTAACTCCTTCTCCAGGTTGGTGTACATCCAACCAGGAGTAAGCCTCTTGTGTTTTGTTTAATACCTTGCTTTGTCATATTTTTGGTTTGATCATTTTGAATAATAATGAAGCTAAAAGATTATGGAAATTTTCAAGCCAAATGCCCACTTTAAAAAGCTGTTATTTCGAGTATTATTTCTGTCGTTTTGGCATAATCTTTGAGTTTTTATTAAGAAAATTGTGTATAGAGACTGTTCCATCCCAGCAGCCAGTCTTGCAATCAATCCCTCAATCAATCAATATTGATCAAAAAGTTGAACTTCCTCGGAACAAAAGAAGGAAGATTAGTGAAGATTCAGAAATTCTTAGTGGTGAAGATCTCCCAAAGAGAGGCAAGAATACGAAGAGGGAGAAATAACCGACAGGCAGCCATTGAATGCCGGAAGAAAAGAAAGGAATATGTAGCTACACTGGAGGATACTATTAAGTAAGCCTTCTCTGTCTTCTTATGATCGGGCCCTAATCTTGTCATAGGAAAATGGAAAATGAAATAGCTGAGCTCAAAATGAAGATCAATGTAAGCCGACCTTTTTGGTAACATCTAATTTGTAGATTTATGAGCAAAGCGAAAAGTTCAAGGTCGTCTCTGAGAAAGAGTCTATTTTTAGCTACCTAGCTGGCCGAGATGAGAGGTACTCACATCTTGAGGCCTATATTGAGGAATATAACAAGAAGTTTGAAAACAATGAGGATCTGACTGAAATTAACAAGACTTTGCAGGAAACTGTCAACTCCATCCACAACCGTCACGGTAGTAAGGGTGTCATCAGGAGGCAATGCACTAGTTATTTGTTTAAGAAAATTCTGACAAAGATAGTTCCGAGCCATGTGAGATATCTCTGCTCAAGCTGAATCAACGAGAATGGGTATTTCCAGAAAATCAGGGGTCGTAAGCTTGCAAAATCGAACAACCCGATCAAGGAAAGAGGTAAATTTGGAGATTTCTTGGAAAAAGCCAAAGATCCCGACAGCCACATCTGGAAGGAAGTCAGCTGAATGGGTCTCAATGAAGAACAGATCAGGACTCTCAAGAAGTGCAAGACTCCAGTCATGAAGATTAGGGATAAGATCTGCAAAGAGATGCATAAAATGTTAGAGATTAGGAAGAAGCTAATGACCCTCAGCCATGAGATGGAAGGCTGTTTCGACGTTGTCGCGAACATTATGAGTCCGCTCCAACAAGCCAGATTCCTTCTTTATATCGATAAAGTTAAGAACAAGAAGGAATTGAGCATTTTTGAGCTCTGGGGCGTCAAAAAGAATGGGTTCAAAATAACTAAGCGGGTCAAGAAGGATATGCAAGCCCTTCCTATTATTAAATGAGAGTATGACATGATAGTGGCCAAGAAGAAGACCTCTGAGGAGGTCAAAGAAGAAACCTGTAAGGATATAAAAGAAGAAATTGAAGAAAAGGACCCTTTACAGACTAGAGCAAGAGAAGATAGCCTCCAATCCAATGAAATTGAGTGGTAAGTTAGCCTTTTAGGCCAAGAATTGGTCTCTTGGTGGGCTCTTTAGGAGGACCATTTCTTCACTATACTCGCACAATGATTGGAATGTGATTACCATATGATATAGGTCCTTAGATTCAGGGGTGCCAGAGTCTGACACTGAAGAAATCGAATAAAAACCTATCAAGAATGTGTAATATTTATACATTCCATTCAATACTATAATTATTAAATGGGGTTTTGGGGTTTTGGGGTTTTGGGGTTTTGGGG